AATTAACCGGACCTTCAAGCACTAGAGGAGCAGGTTACTGAGCAGATAAAAGTTGCAGAGGAGGAAGGAGAAGCCACTGAGGTGCCATGCACCATTTACAGCCCAACAATGTCCTCGTTAACACCCCCAGGGCCCTCTTCAACATTGTCACAACCTCCGCCAAAGTCACCACGACCCTTGTCAACATCACCATGGCCCTCGACAATAGCTTTGCAGTCCACAGTGATAACACAAGTGTCTATTCCAACGGCTTCATGGCTCTTGCCAACAGAATCATGGTCCTCATCAACAACACCCTACGTCCCCAATTCGGCTCACAATCTTCACCAAGGACCTTCAATTCTGGTTCCACGGTCAGATCCGCTTCCTCACTCATTCCCTATGGTGATATATCAGCCTCCAACTTCCCTTTCCTCAAAGGGACAATGCTCTAAGCACTCGGTATTCTGTAATCCATTCCGCTCCCTTTCAACTGCCCCAAAACAACCATCAGAAGTTCATCCACAGCGCTTTCTGCCCTTGCTTGTCAGCTCTCCTACAACCCATCCTTTCCAACAGCAACCACACAACACATCACCAACACCCTCTGAATCACACCACATTCAAATTCCATTGAATACTCAGCCCTCGGTCATCCTCATTTTCCACATGCCTACAAAAATCAGCCAGATGAGGTCTTTGCAGTGCTAAAGCACACTAACGCTGCTCGTCACTCGTGCAGCTCAACTTCGACTCACACAAGTGTCATGAGGCAATCAGGGAATTCGAAGGACAACATGAAGGTTGGGGGGGTTGACAAGCAGGTTATGGGGACAATAGAAATTGCAGCTGAGGGAGAAGGGGCCACCATGGTGCCATGCACTCATTCACCCCCTGTTCAATCAACTCATTTCCCAGGTAATGCTGCCAGAGAGCTCATGATGATGATGGCAAGGACACCATCTCTGTCTTTGACATTGCAGTCCATGCCAATGTCGTTGTGGTCCTCATCAACAACGTTGCAGCCTTCCTCAATGGTGTTGCGGCCCTTGTTAGCAGTGCTGAGGCCCTCGTCAACAAAATCATGGCCTTTGTCAACAACATGAGCACCTGCCAAAACATCACCTCCTTCCCAACGACAATCACCCAACTTTCCTTTGGATTATATTGCTTCAGACGCTTTTCAACTCTGCCAAGATGACCAGTCGTCATTTGAAGAGTCACCCTCACCAGTTGTGGCTGACAACACAGGCGACACATCCTCATCGATGCACAACACCCCTTCACGTCCGTCACCTGCCCTGTTGCATGACCTTTGTTGAGGCCAGACAGCTATCTGTGCACATCCTCCTATGCATTTCTTTCCACAGCGACGATGTTCATCCCTACTGCCTCTCTCCTGTCGACTACAACATTTTGGTGGCCAACAACCATTGAGATTGCAGCCAAGCAGTCCCATGACTCCCCAATCCACTGATCAATATTCGTCATTGTCAACATCAACTCTCATGGCCGAACATAGGGGATGCATGCCTTCAGTAACGCTCAACACGCACATGCCCTCTCTGGCCTACCATCCATGCCCAGAGACACAAGACAAGCAGGTACAGACTGAGGCATTGCCATTACCAGGTGTTTTCACAATCAGCAAAGAAGACTGCCCAACATCTTTGATGCTCGACATAACACCAACTGACTCTGGACCATACCCCACTCGGGTTCTGTTGAATAACCAATCTTCCAACATTGCCCTTGAACAGTGTTCACCACCGACCACTGTAAATTGTTTGGACAAAGTCTTTATACCGCTGGACTGCACCATTGCTGCTCAACATGCTTGCAGCTCAACATTGACTCACACTAGCAACATGGGGCAGGGGCTCTTAGCACAGGGGCAGCTGGGGAATTCAAAGGGTAACAAGAAGGGTATAGGGCTTAATGAGCAGGTTGCCGGGGAGATAGAAAGTGTAGTTGAGGGACAACAAGTCGCTGAGGGATCAGAACTTGTTGCGGTGCTGGCAAGAACATTGTCTTTGTCAACAGCTTTGCGGCCCACATCAACAGCACCTCACAACTTCAATCCTGCTTTCTTTTCGACCACTCCAACCTCGTCATCACCAATCACAGTTGACAACACAAGCAATACCTCATTGTCAATGTACAACAGCCATTCAATCTCACTTTCTGCCCCATCACGTGATTACCACCAATACTTGGGGTCACTTCATGCACGCCCTCCTACACCATTTTCCCCAAAGCAACAATGCTCCCTCCTCTCACCTCCCTTTTGTCAACCTATCCTCAATAATGACTTCACTGATTTTGACTGTGACTTCGATTT